ATGTCTTTTTGGAAAGGACCCTCCACCGGCTTCACATTGAGGGATGGAACAGTATAAATAGTAATAGAAGAGAAAGTCTCTGGTTTGACTAAAAGAAAATATCTAACAATTTAAATACAGTAAGTACTTCTTAGTGAAATTGTTCATGATTATTGTATTGACATGGTGTTGGTTGATCTAATTCTTGTGATTGAACGAAGTAATACTATTTTTGTGCACTGAACTGATCATGATTTATTTACACTACACACTACACTGCAGCCTTTTTTTTTCTTTCTTTCTTTTAAGATTCACTCCTAGGGATTCACCCTAGTAATGGTCCTCACACCTAAGCGCTGCTCCTTGGTTATGGTTCCTTCCTTGACAGAGCAACACTTTCCACACATCTCATCCCCAGGATCCCAAGGGAAAGCAATTAGATCTATACCTTCCAGAAACTGACCTACTGCTAGTTTTTCTTTTATTTTCTTCTGAGGACGCCTTTTCGATTTGTGTTGTAAAAAGCCCCACTTCTTGTAAGGAATTGGCGCCTTCCTGTGGTTCCTCCTGCTATAATTACATTTCCCATTGAGCAGCTCCTGTAATCTAACTTCTCCCTTAAAATGAGATGAGGAGACACCATCATGTCTTTGTTCTACATTCTTAATTAATCTTCCTGAAGGTTAGATGTTCAACAGAATCACTTCCTGATCCTGGCTTGTTTGTGCAGTAAAGGCAAGGTTCTGAAGTGCCACTTCTGTCCTGCACTGGAACACTGAAGGAGCTTTACCCGATGTGTTCCCACCTAGTGCAGCCAAACTCTGCTGATCATCCTTGTCCTTATCTGCTGCTTCTGCCCCTGAGTCCGAAACAATACTAATGTCTGAACGAGTACTTGTTTCTAACCCCCTCCTCTGAAGGTTGGATATTTGTCTGGGCAGTCTCCTGCCCTTGATCAGGTTGTTCTACTAGTGTGTGGTTCTGTAGTATGCTCACTCCCCTGGTCCTGCACTCTAGCATTGAGGGAACTTCAGGTGGTGAGCTTTCAGCCTGCATAGATGAAACCTGCTGACCCTCTGCAGGGATATTCAAAGAAGAAAAGTGAATATCATTGACTTTTAACATTAGACTACTTACAACATTCCGCGGACGTACCCTAGGTAGACGTTGTGGACTTGGTGGTGGCTGGGTCGGATTTAGACCTGTTGAGCCGACCCGTCCATGTTTAAAGACGAATTCTCCTCGTTGAATGAAACATGAAACATATTGTCGGCATGTTCCCCCTGTTTGCGGCCTTCATCCCAGCCGTTCTGGGATCTTTGGCAATTGCGAGCAAAATGACCCTCGTCCCCACATAGGTAACAATTATTACTCCGCCTAGGTGATGGGGTGCATTGGCCACGAGGCAATATGATAGCGTTTGTGAGACGCCTCAAACCCTCACATACCTCATCCAGTTTGGCATGAACCCCTGAGATCCCTGAGACAACTTTGTCTAGTTTTGTGTTCATGCCTGTCAATTTATCTAGCTTTGTATCAATTCCCGCAAGAGAGGGAGAACCTGATCCAGCATTTGTTTGCCAGAGACCCCCCATTACCATGACCTGATAGGCTAGCAGACAACAAGAACATATTATCACCACACACAACGACACGATCATCTGGGATATTTTGACGAGCAACACTTAAATAATTGATAGATATAATGACAATACAATAGACATCAGTGAAGCGCTGTATATCAAGAAATCTAGACCAGCAATTAATAACCAGCAAAATACACAATTACACTCACCCAATTCAAGACCACGGGCCAACACACAAGTTGGACCGAATGATTCTGCAACAGGTATGGAAGCAGCAAGAAGAACATAAGCTGTCAACATGTCACACTCTATATTGATACATTTAATACCTAATTAATATCCCCCATGTAATGTCATTTATCCACGTCACCTAACCACCTCACCATAAGAGGATATAGCCAGGTGCTAAGCACAGTAGAGTTTGTCTTTGTGTTTTATTTGTACCACTATAGCAGGCTATGTTTTATAATTCTACCACAACAGAGGGCTATGTGTTTTTATTGAACCACTACAGCAGGCTATGCATTATAATTGTACCACTACACCAGGCTATGTGTTTTAATTGTACCACTACAGCTGGCTACGTGTTTGTCATAACTGTACCACTATAGAAGACTATGTGTTATAATTCTTTCATTTCAGCAGACTAAGAGTCCACCTGGAGCTGCCATGAGGTACAGACGTGTCGCCTGGCCTCTGGTGGTTTGGGGTGTTTGCCGTTTTCGTCGCCAGGAGGTGTGGGCGTCTCTGCCCCTCCCCTGCTGTTGCTGACTGGCTGCATGTTGACGTGGCGAGCTTGCCATAGGAGGCCATCTTCCTCCAATTGTATGGGTAAACTCCGTGGGTCTGGAGTTCACTGGTCGTGCTGGGTATGTGGACATTGAAATGGTGATGTGCGACATGCTCCGTGTTCCTGTGATGGCAGTCTACGGTGTTGAGCTGGTAACTGCCCACAGGGTTGTTATCAAGTTTGTGATGGAGGAGGAGTACCGTGACTTCCTCCGTCGTTACGAGGGGCGTTCGTTGCCATTGTCGGGTGGTGCCGGCTCTGTGTCCATCTCGAACCGTAGTGGTGCCCTGACTTATGTCAGTGTGCATGGGGCGCCCCTGGAGTTTCCCAAGGACCTCCTCCGACGTTACTTTCAGAGGTATGGGGTGGTCGTCAGTGTGAGGGTGAACAGGCTCTCCTCAGGGCGGTATGCGGGTAGGCGGACGAACATTCGCACCTTGGGGATGCGCCTGCGGTTGGATATTCCATCTTCGGTCCGGCTTATGGGGTACTACGTCCGGGTGTACTATGCCCGGCAACCCCGTACCTGTTTCCGGTGTGGCTTGATGGAGCATCAGGCTGCTGGGTGCGTTGCGACTCCGGTTGCTCCCATCAACTTGTTCTGAGAAGAGGATTTCCCGTCGCTCCCTCTGGAGGAGGACTCCGGGGGTGAGGAGGTGAACGTCCCGCTAGCTGATGAGGCTCCCCCCAACGTCACCCGACGTCCCCCCGATTGTCGCAGATCCTCCTCCGGATGTTGTAGTGCCGTCGAATGATACTCCTGCTCCTGTCATTGGCCCTGTTGCTCCAGTGGGCCTTCCTGGTGCTCCCTGTGAGGCATCGCCGTCTGCTCCCTCGTCTTCGGCTGCTGAGCCTGGCCCTGCATCCTCGCCTCGGGTCCCTACTGTGCTGGGTGCTGGGGTGGCTGTGGAGCCTCTTGCTGTGTGTGGTCCGGTTCCCCCTGTGGTAGAGGCTGCTGCCGTTCTGTGTCGGGCGTCGGTTCGTCCGGCTAGTGGTGCCCGTGTTTCTGGGTCTGCTTCCGGCTCTGACGATATCCGGCCGGAGCCCAAACGTTCCAGGCGTTCGTCTACTGCCTGGGCCGATGTTGGGGACTTCAGTGACTGTGGGTCTTCGGGTGTTGACGGTGTGGATCCGGATGTGTCGTTGTCTCCACGGTTGGTGGTGGTGGAGGTATATGTGCCTGCTGGTACTGGTGCTCGTGTCTCGGGTGTGTCTTCTGTTTCTTCCCCGCCAGGGGGCTCTCCACAGTGGGGTGTGGTGGCTTCCGCTGCCAGGGATAATGCAGATGCTGGTGCTGGGCGTGGCCTGGTAGTGACTTTATGAAAGGATGCCGCCGCCCTGGTTCCCTGCAGTCGTCTGGTGGTGTGCCCGTGGCCGCAGGTGCGCCTGTGGTGGTGCCCTCTGTCCGGCTCTCTCCTGTGGGGTTGCGACTTGGGGAACTGGAGGCCGTGGTTGCTGAGTTCCTGCTGTCTGAAAGGCCGGAGGACTTTCATGATGGGGAGGTTCCCGGTGTATGGCGTAGGGTGGCAGTTACTCGCCTCTGGTGTGACACTGTCTGGGTTCCCTGTTTGCGGGTGTTTGTTGCCGGCGTTCTGGATGACATGGTGTCCCCGGTTGAGGGTCAAGCCTCTTGGGGGAGGTGGCTGCATTGGGAGGCATTCAATGTGCGGTTCCCCCGGGTCGTGTTCCCGGGCAAATATGTCAGCTGATTTCATGTTACTGTAGTGTTGTGTGCCCCTATGGCCTTTTGTTTGCCCCATTGTATTCTGTGCCCGTGCCACTCCCTTATTTGTTGCGAGGCCGGTGTTTTGGTGAGGGCGATTTTATTTCTGTATTTGCTCTTGTGTTGTTACTTTGCCATGTGTGTTCTACTTATGCATTGTTAGACTGTGTTGTTTTTTGTTTTTATTTTTATTTTTGTTTTTATCATTATTGTTTGTTTTTATTTTTGGCTTGTTGTGTGCTGTGCGATTTTCTTGTTCTATTTCATGATGTCCTCTATGTTGTGTTTTGTTCTCGGTCCTTCAGGCCAGTGCTTGTTTGTTGTTGTGTATGTTGCTATGTTTTATTTTCTTGATTGCATTGATTGCTTGTTTATTATTAGTGTATCTTTTAGCCTCTCCCTTTGTTTGTTGTGAGGCGGTTGGTTTGGTGTGAGTGTTTTTATTCATGTCTTGTTTCTGTGATCTACCTTGTACTGGTGTTTTATTATTGCATTACACGTTATACTTGTAATTTTTGTTTTGTTTGTTGTTTATTGTGATTTTCTTGTTATGTTTCATGTTATACCTCTTGATGTTTGCTTTGTTTTATACTGTTTTGTTTTATAATGTTACTGTGCTTGCATGTTTGACATTGTTTTCTCTTTTGATGTATGCTCTTGCATTTCTCGTGTTTGTAATTTGTTGCCATGTGCTGTCAGCCCTTCTGGCCGGTGGTTTATTGTTTTGTTTTGTTTTGTTATGTTTTCTATGTACTTTTCTTGTTTTTATTGTATTTAAATTGCATGCTTGCATGTAAAAATAAAAAAAAAATAAAAAAATTCAGCAGACTACATGCTATAATTTTATAACTACATTAAACTTTGTGTTGTAATTGTACCAGTAGAAGAGGCTACGTGTAATAAAACAGTGGACAACTTGCAGGCGATCAGTGTACAGCACCATTCTCCAGAGTTGGGGACACCTGCCTCCTGCTGGCTGTGTCTGACAAGCTGACTTGGGCCGCTGCTCGACAGTTCTGTGCTGCCAGAGGGGCTGATCTTGTTGTGTTCCGCGACGCCAACGCCTACGCTGACGCTCTCGGCTACATCAACTTAGTCAGTAAGTATTTACATCAGAAATTGTCACTAAACAAAAGTCCGTTTTGTGTATTTCAATGCCAATGTCTACAGCATTACTATTTACAAATATATTGCTTGAACAAATTCCTCGTTTTTGCAAATTATAGGTTGAACAGTTCTAGAATTTTGATTTAACTAATATTTCACACAGATTCCACCTCTCTCTACAGTCATCACATTCAGTTTAGCAATGATTTATGTCAATTGAACACCCAACGGTTGTCACAAATTGTTAGTTAAATGGCCTTGTTTATGTTCAACTGCTTGCAACTCTGTACCTTCACTTCACTCACAAGTTTGCCTTTGTTCTCACAATGGTCCAGAACAACCTTACAAGATCTTGTCTTATGACAAGTGCTGAGTGTTATGTTATCAGGCGAAGAAAACGAATCGCGGAACAACTTGAGAGTCGCACCCTATCTCAAGAACGGCGAAGAAGGTTAGGTAGAGAAATAGAAGCAATTGAACGGAAGCTACAAGAATCATACAAAACCCAGGAGAGGCAAAGAGAGCAAAAGGCCATCAGTGAAATAGAAAGAAATCCGAAATATTTTTTCTCCTATGCAAAATCAAGATCAAAAACCACATCTAGTATCGGGCCCCTGCGAAAGGGAGATGGAACTTTCACCGATGACAACAAAGAAATGAGCGAGCTACTGAGGACGCAGTACGACTCTGTTTTCAGCGAGCCATTAAACACACTAAAGATTGATAACCCAAATGAATTTTTCATGGATACGATACCAACATCAAATCATATATCAGACGTCACCCTATCCCCACTGGATTTTGAAGAAGCCATAAACAGTATGCCTATGCACTCTGCACCAGGCCCGGATTCTTGGAACTCCATATTCATAAAGAACTGTAAAAAACCACTATCGCAGGCCCTCCACATTCTGTGGAGACAAAGCCTAGATACTGGCGTTATTCCTGATATACTAAAAACAGCAGAGATAGCACCACTTCATAAAGGAGGAAATAAGGCAGAGGCAAAAAATTACAGACCAATAGCACTAACATCGCACATCATAAACATTTTTGAGAGAGTACTAAGAAGTAAGATCACAAAATACATGGAATCACAGCATCTCCATAACCCCGGACAACATGGTTTCAGAACAGGGCGCTCTTGCCTGTCGCAGTTGCTGGACCACTATGATATGGCATTAGATGCTATGGAAGACAAACAAAACGCTGATGTAATTTACACAGATTTCGCAAAAGCTTTTGATAAATGTGACCATGGTGTTATTGCACATAAAATGCGTTCAAAAGGAATTACCGGAAAAATAGGCAGATGGATCTACAATTTCCTGACCAACAGAACCCAATGTGTAATAGTCAACAAAATAAAATCCAGCCCATCAACCGTGAAGAGCTCAGTCCCCCAGGGTACTGTGCTTGCTCCAGTACTTTTTCTCATCCTCATATTGGACATAGACAAGAACACAACCTATAGCACTGTATCATCCTTTGCAGATGACACTAGGATCTTCATGAGAGTAGGCAACATAGAGGACACGGCGAACCTCCAGTCAGATGTAGATCAGGTCTTTCTATGGGCTACAGAAAATAATATGGTGTTTAACGAAGATAAGTTCCAGCTCATGCGCTATGGAAAAAATGAAAATATAAAAACGGAAACCACGTACAAAACTCAGGCAAATCATAACATAGAACGAAAAGGCAATGTAAAAGATCTGGGTGTACTCATGTCGGAAGACCTTACCTTTAAAGAACACAATAAAGTAGCCGTCACAACTGCAAGAAAAATGACAGGTTGGATAACAAGAACTTTTCACACTAGAGATGCTATACCGATGATGATACTTTTCAAAACGCTTGTGCTCTCTAGAGTGGAGTACTGCTGCACAATGACAGCACCTTTCAAAGCTGGAGAAATTGCTGACCTGGAGAGCGTGCAGAGATCCTTTACTGCTAGAATCCACTCAGTAAAACATCTAAACTATTGGCACCGACTAAAGAGCCTAAAACTGTACTCCCTTGAGCGCAGGCGGGAGAGGTACATAATAATTTACACGTGGAAAATATTAGAGGGACTGGTCCCAAACCTGCACACAGAAATAACATCACATGAGACCATTAGACATGGCAGGATGTGCAGAATACCCCCATTGAAAAACAGAGGTGCAACTGGTACTCTGAGAGAGAACTCTATCAACATCAGAGGTCCGAGACTGCTCAACACGCTTCCACTACACATAAGGGGCATAACTGGCCGACCCCTTACAGTGTTCAAGAGAGAACTGGATAAGCACCTCCAAAGGATACCTTATCAACCAGGCTGTGACTCATACGTCAGGCTGCGAGCAGCCGCGTCCAACAGCCTGGTTGATCAGTCCGGCAACCAGGAGGCCTGGTCGACGACCGGGCCGCGGGGACGCTAAGCCCCGGAAGCACCTCAAGGTAACCTCAAGGTAAGGTAATCAGTGAAGGATAGTGGCTGGTAGTGACCTGTAGCACCAGAGGGGGACCCTTGGAGCGTTGTGGTGTTCAGTGAGGAGTGACCTGACCTGACCTGGTCTAACCTGACATGACTTGGTCTGACCTGGCCTGTCTTGACCTGACCTGACTTGACAACCACACTGTGGGTCAAAACCCTGAGGCGCTATAGGCCAGCCAGGCCTCGCTTTTGCGGCCTCACTTTCACACCCTCATATCAGTGATTCTATACGTATAATTATAGTGTATTATAAACAGTATATATTATTGTATACTACTATAACACTTAAACGAAGTTATTCTATTAATTTAATCTAACCTAATAGTTGCCGTTGTCTGGGAAAGAAGCCTGAACTTATGGCTAACGAGGTCCTCTTGGCTGCCCCAGGATGTACCCCACAACACTAGTTTAACTCCCGGGACCTTATACCCTGCTAGGTGAACACAGGTAGTACCTTAAATGTACCGTGCCCAATTTTCTCTGTGTTACCCTTGTTACTGGGTAACAAGGTTGTGAGCCGAGGACGTTCACCACTGCACTAGCAAACCGAATGATTTCAATATAAGCCTAACCTAACGATCCCGGCCATCACTATCCTAACCAAATGACGTTATTAAGACTGAACATAATCTTGATGATGAACACATCGTTTTGAAGCATGAAGACTGAACACTCAACCTATACACTTCCTTACAAAGATAAAGAGAAGCTCTCTAGACTCATTTTAACATTCCTGAGCTAACGGCGATCTAGAGAGGGTGACCAGCATCTGAAGAGGCACGTGTATGCCTAAACTCTACTTAAGTGGGGAAAACTGACTTGTGGGAGTTATTTTTATTGCAATTTATGTTTATATTCATTTATTTAGTGATTTATTTCTTACGTTAATTTATTTATTTCAGACTGTGTGATGTTTGACTGATAGCAGACTGTGTGAGGTTTAAAGAAGACTGTATGAGTTTATTCCCACAAATGGTTTCCTACACATTCTCGGTTTTTTATTACATATATATATATATATATATATATATATATATATATATATATATATATATATATATATATATATATATATATATATATATATATAATGTCGTACCTAGTAGCCAGAACGCACTTCTCAGCCTACTATGCAAGGCCCAATTTGCCTAATAAGCCAGGTTTTCATGAAATAATTGTTTTTCGACTACCTAACCTAACCTAACTTTTTCGGCTACCTAACCTAACCTAGGGTTGGTTAGGTTCGGTCATATATCTACGTTAATTTTAACTCCAATAAAAAAAATTGACCTCATACATAATGAAATGGGTAGCTTTATCATTTCATAAGAAAAAAAATAAAGAAAATATATTAATTCAGGAAAACTTGGCTTATTAGGCAAATCGGGCCTTGCATAGCAGGCCGAGTACGACGTTCTGGCTACTAGGTACAACATATATATATATATATATATATATATATATATATATATATATATATATATATATATATATATATATATATATATATATATATACAATCAATCAAAATTATTGATTAGTAGACATTCACTACACTATTACTAAGTGTACAATTACAACTACAATGGATTAGTTAATACTGGGGAAGCCTTATCTGACTAGATGGCTTCAACATTAATAGGTGTAGAACACGTAAGCAGCTAGTCACATTCAGGTCTGGTGCTGATGGTGTGGTAATGGACAGGATGGGGTGGTCAGTAACGTCCTCTTGACGCCACAGTAGAAACTTCACTTCCCAATTACATTCCGACAAATCACACTTTAAATTTTGCGACATTATTGTTTGCATGTATATTAATAATGATCTTTAATGACTGAAATGAGAATATTGCTCACCCTGGTGTTCGTTTTTTGTATACGGCATAATCATAGCAGTAAATTACACAATGAGCTCTACGAATCATTTAGTATACTGCACGGACGTAATGCCTTCACTGGTAACGACGGTGTTGATTTGTGTTGTGAAATTCTTCGATAATAACTTGTTTGGTACAAATCATGGAGATGACAGCACAAGTCTGAACTGTCCATGGTTAAAGTGGCTGATCCCTCCCTCCAAGTTCAAGTATGTTTATTGAGATAAGAAAGAAATACATCTCAAAGGGATAGAGTAGCTTAGGCTATTTCTACCCCCCTCTACTTCAAGTTCCTCAAGGGGCGCACAAATTCAGTGAGTACAAATAGACAAATAACATTACAAGAATCCCATTTAACATAGCAGGTTAATATAGTAAGCACAGCATATAATTGTTACACTCTTGGGGCAAAATTCCTGTAGCTCCTAAGTATACTGTCTATCATACCATTATCACACATCCAAACAATTTGATGTGGTACACTATTTATTTCCTTATTTCTATAGTTATCAATAAGTTGACACTCTAGTAACATAATGTTCTAAGGTGTGGGCGTGTGGCATACTACATAATTTACACTCCTTATCTTTTTCACTGACATCAACACCGTATTGCCAGATATATTTGTATCCTAATCTTAATCTCATGTAAATTGAATCCTTCCATGTAGATTTTCCTTTACCATAGGTGAAGGACGAATTTGTATTTATTATTGAATAATTCTTAAGTGTGCTACTACTGTTCACCATTGCCATTCTCTTTATCATTTCTTCTCCCTCTTGGATCATCTTGATTCTTGTTTTTATTTGTTTCAAGGTTAACTGACATACAACATCAAGAAGAGTTTTTTCAGTGGCTCTCCTTGCTATGTCATCAACTACCTCATTCAACAGTATTCCCACATGTGAAGGGATCCACATGAATCTTACTTTATACCTAGTTTTTTCTAATTTCTTAACATTCTCTCTACACTCTATTACAATATTCTGATATACTGGGAGTCTGCTATTTAAAGACTCTAACGCTCCTCTGCTGTCAATAAAGAAGCAAGCATTTTTACCACATTTGACTACTTCCTGTAATCCTGCTAATACACCTTGGAGTTCAGGCTGCGTTGAAGAGACATTGACAGTTAAGGGGCGTCCAATAACAATATCTACAGTGCCGATGTCAGTGTACTCCTTGATCAAAACTCCACATCCTGCCTTCCCATCCCTAACTACTAACCCATCACAATATACGTGTAGAGTGTTTTCTGTAGGCAGTTTTCTAATTATACAATCATATGTTGCCCTCAGCTCTCCTATTTCATACATACTTTTTTCTTTTGCAAGGGAGTAATTACTACATCTACATTACAATCCTCCCATGGTGGTGTGACTTTTCTCTTGGGCACAGCAATACACTCTGTAATAACATCATACTTTATAACATTAGAACATAAGTTATTCATATATACTCTCTTCTTCTTCATACACTGTTCACTACTTCCCACCTTTTGAACTGAGAGGATTAATTCATTAGCTCCCCCACCTCTCATTAATCTAATGGCAGAGGCTACATTTATCTCTACAATTCTATCTCCAATACTCTGCAGATTCAACTCCATCCTCATTATCTCAATCATAGCATTTCTTGGGCATCCTAAGATAATTCTCATGGCTTCATTTTGTACCTTCTCTATATTGCCCATCCTACCTTTACCAAAACAAGAAATGACATGTGCAGCATAATCAATAAGAGATCTTACAGTACTCAAGTATATCATTCATAGCACAGGGACTCCCACTCCCTTTCCACAGCATGCCAAGGCCTTCAGAGGTTGTTATCTCTTCAGACATTGACCCAACAGTCTGTTCATCTCAGCTTCCATTTGGCTTTCTGGGTTCATGTGGGAGGCTTATTAATTCAGTAGCCTCATGTATTGCACTTATAGAATTCAGGGAATATAGAGATGAGCTCTCTGAAAGTGGCTCTGATTCTGTTAAGGTATTATTATGTGAGTTGTGTTAGATGAAACAGTAGAAAATGAAGGTTGAACTTCAGTTGTTGATCCTGTGAAAGGGTCAGATATGATTAGCGGAATCTCCTCATTTTGAGGTAGCTCATGTACTTCATCTGTTCTGAGTGCTTGCTTGGGTATAGGTGTACCATAAATATGTCCTGATCCAGCAGGAACATTTTGTGTTGCAAGCATTTTTTTATAGTAAATCAACCTGGCCGGAATTTTGTCTTCAAAGTCGGCTAGGTCAGACATGATTAGATCAATGTCATCTAGATCAATATTACTAAATTGCTGGTTAGCTATCTTTGCTGAGATTTCCAGCGATATGAGATCAACTGGGTCTGTTTCCACCCAGTTGTCACATTGGTTGATTAACTCTGTCAAGTGACATTGTAGGCCTTTCAATTGTATTTTAGTTTTATCTAGTGTAGTCATATTGACTATGGGTTGAAACTTTATGGAGCTTATATAGCTACTTAGACAGCTATGATTCATGCTCTTAGGTGTAGAGCAGGTATGGTTATTAACAGCCTAATATTTTCTTGGTTAGGCTGATTGTAATTTACCTCGTTTGGAGGTTAGCTACCTACCTAATAATAAGTAACTAATATTTGAGTAGTACTAGAATGTCACTGTTGGAATTTCGACCGGTGAGCTCCTCAATTATCACCATTCGATCCAACAGTGAAATCCAACAGTGAACATCCAGTAACACTAAAAAAATACACGAAATAATATGATAAATACACAATAAATGTTTTGTGGATCCCACTCTAAATTAGGGTCAGCACAAATCTGAATAATATGTATGTACACCAGCACTGTCTAGTACAGTACTCGCTAAATAATTCCTACTTAGGAATGACTAAATAGTTTAGGCTGCATTTGTACAAACATTAGTACAATTAGTCTAAATATATCCTACCTCTGTTGGGCTGCCATAACTACAATAAATGTGGTGCAATAATGTGTAAAATAGTGCTGTGTTTTTGGAAATTTTTGTGATGTTATATAATATACACTTGTAAGAAATACATGTATGAGAAATTTAATGAACTCAAGATTATTAATTGTGTTTGGCAAGTATTCTACTGCTGTAAATAATGTTTAACACCTGACAGAACTTCCTAATTAAGGAATATAATGTTATCAGGGTTAGTAATGATTAATTAATTTATGGGATCAGTAACTTGGGTTAGTAAACAGGACCCTGAAATGTTAATAAATTTACTGACTTAGGTGAATCAGTACTCATAGGTTTAATGTGGTTTAGGCTATGATATGGACAGTCTGCTGACAGCTGTAAATGAAATATATGTGTATAGCCTAATAATGTTAACACACTAGTTGGTGTTACTAAATAAGTACTTAAATGGGGCCAGTAATTTGGGTGAATATACTGGACCCTAGATAATTATTGGTAAATCCGGTTCGAAGGACCAAAATTTGTGTGAGCAAACTTGACTCATGTAAATCATAAATTGATAATATTTTAATAGCTACGAAGGATCACTTTTTCCACTTTTTGAGAAAAAGTGGAAAACAAGGGTAGAGCAAGTGGTTAAAATATTTTACTCCATGAACTAGTGTCCTATGGATGTTTAAATTAATATTAAATTGAATATTAAAGGGACTGTATTATGAGTCAAATTCACTCACTCAAATTGAGGGTTACATGCTTAAAATTTAGTGCATCCCTAGCATTATTCTGGTGCTGGTTCTTAGCCAGAGTAAATACAATATGAAAGAAAATAAAGTTGATTATATAATAATAATTAGAGGTAAATGCACCTCAATATACTACTGTAATATTCAATAGTACAGTATATGGTAAATCAAAGGGTTAGTATAATTGATCTCCTCGGGAGATCACTAATATAACTACAGAGTTGTTACTACGGATGAATATGACCAGCTTAGCTGTAAAACTAGAGAGGTGTAATTGGTTGCCACACTCCATCGACGACGTGTTGCATCGAGCAAATTGTTGCACATGTAGGTGGGGAAGCCTATCACCTCGGTTGACGTGGACCCGGAACTGGAAAGCATTTACATTGTAGAAATCTTCTACATAATGAACTACAAGTACATCCAAAATTTAGGAATTCTTCCTATATGAAAATAATTGATATATATATGTTCAAGCACTGTAAAATTCTTCT